ACACAGGATATTAGGTCAAGTAAGTCAAGATACCAGATAGTTGGTGCGAAAGTACTTTCTTTATGTGAACCTTTTATCATTTGGTTTTTCTAAAATGTGGTGGTTTTCAAACAATAATGATCCTTAAATTCAACATTAAGTCATCGGACGTAATTTCTACATATTCATTTACATCAACTTAACATATATGTTACACTATTATAGTTTCCTAACCCAAATAAAAGCTAAAATAAAGGCCTGTGTACAATGAAGTACATCGGAAGGTCCCGAAATATTTAATTCTATTGTTAGTTACATCACACCGGACACGGAAGTGCGTTAGTTGCTCTTATTTACGATAACCTTTTGTCTTGTATGGGAAAGGTATGTGATAGTTAAGGTGACTCTTTGTACTAAGGGTTGGGTGACAAATTTGTTTATAGTCGTTGCTGATGAGAACAATGTATTGTAAAATATTTAATGGGAGAGGAACTCTCAAATAGTTTAGGCTTGTCCCATATAAGTTAAAATTATGAGTTACCTAACGTGACAATTAGTTGAACATGTTACATTTTCTTTCTATTGTAAAATGAAAGGAAATTAATTTGAAATTATTTGTGATAATTATGTTAAGAAAACAATGTAAAATGTGGATTAAAAATCTGTTTCAAGTTCAACAACAAGGCTTAAAATCATCAATCACTACAAAAAATTGTATACAAAATATTATATCTATGCACAGTAGAAATAATTATGTTTTTCATCAACCCGTTCAAGTCTAGTAATTTTTATTGGGAATAGTGAACGTTGTATTTAAAAAACGGCAATAAGTACTGTGACAAACGCCGTACAGCTAACCAGTACCTTACCACAATTCCTTACAGCACATACAAATTAATACCCTAACAATATTACGAGAACAGTATCTTATGTTCGGCGAGCGTGTCCAATGCTTTCCGTCTGTTCTTGCCTTGTTGCCCACCCTATGTCTGCATAGGAAGTATTCATTGCTATTGTTCCTCTTACTTATGATAGCCTGGTACCATCCTCTTGAATAATTAAACATTTTATTTTAAATTGTAAATTCTCAGAATACTACAATGTATTGTTTTTAGTTTTTCCTTCTGATATTGTATTTGGCTTACTTTAAACTGTGTGTGGTGGATGTGGTGTCATATTATTGGGATTAAATTGTTGTGTAATCTTACCTAAAAGGTATACCTAGTCAAAAATATGAGAAATAACGATAATCTAATGTAGGTTAAATAGACCAAGATTAATTTTACTTTTTCTAAAGATTACACAGTCTTAAGAACTGTAAGATGGGTTAAATAAAGGGTAAATCTTATTGTTTAAATCATTATTTTGGACACTGGAAGAGAAAAACAAAAACTCAATATTAAGATTCATAAATGAGGATGCGCTCCGGATACGATAGAAAAAATCCCCGATGACGAAACACATTTATCGAAACAATCACTAAACGCCAACACTTAATTCAATAACAGAGATCCGTATCAAGCACGGCCGGTTATCTCTTCACCCCACGCACCAATTTACATACAAATACATACAAATCGGGTACGGAACCATAATCGGTTCCGGGTCACGTGGCCTCCGTGGTGAATCGGTTAAAGAGACCATTCGTTCACGGTTAATAAAGTCACAATCTTCTCACAATACAAAACAGGCTGGCTGCCGCCTTTCCCTTGCTTCGAAAAAAATATTCGCGAGGGTAGAACAGATTCGAAATTAGAATTTGATTATCGAAGTGTGCCGACTATTTATCATTTGTAATGACGCGTTCGTAGCGTGAGGACGTGCTCGCTAATATTGTAATCTTGTAAATGCGTTCAGCAAAATACATATTTATTATTTTTCGTATTCTGTGTAGCTATTTGAGTGGAAAATATTGCTTTTGCATTGATTATGCATGACCGTCTAATGTTTTGAACGATTCATGTAGCTGTCTAGTCATTTATATCCATCTGTTGGAATTTGTGTGGGATGAGTTTCTTTGATTATATTCCTACAAGGAACTAGATACATTTATGCGTATTGTATTAAGGCCAGAGAAAATTAAAAAAAAACAATTTAGAAGTTCTTCTTAGTTTAATCCTTTATTACAATTTGTTTCTGGCTAGATACCTCAAACAATTACCATAAGTTCTGATTGGAACAAACTCAAAAAGTTTTATATCTCTCTGGTCATAAGCATCTAGTCAGTACCAAGCTGCGTACATATCTGAGACCGAGGGCAGAGCGTATTCAAATGTATCCGAGTATTACGCGACCCATCCGTCTTATTGCTGGCGTCTGCTAACACCGCAACTATAGGGTGGTGGTAAAAGAGAAGAATATTTAAAGAATGTAGTTGTTTTTAGAATGGCAGTTAGATACAATTTCTAATCTTTATATTTAATAAAGATGACGTGAAAAAGAATGATAATGGCATAAAATGTAAAGAAAATTACAATACATACATTAAAATAAATGAGTATTTTAGAGAAAACTAGGTTGTCTAAGATTCTAAGTTAAGATTAGAACAGCTAATTGTCTCGTCATAATCCCCAAAACAGTGCACATATATTTAAACAAGTCAATATTTTAGGAGTTTTTAAGATTAAGATTTAAATTAAAGTAACACTTTAACTTAAATAGAAACATTACCTAAAACAACACACTATAGCTTCACGCGAAGGGCGCCGGTCGCAATCCCCAGTATGAATATTTTCTATTGAATTACTCACGCTTCGGCAGTCCACCAAAAATATTGTCCTCTTCTCACACCGACACCAAAGTTTCCACATTTACGACACACAGATGTACTTTCAACTGCATACTTGTCAACTTTTTGAATCCCACATTATTCGGACGTTGGTCGAAATAAAAGTTCAGTTTTGTTTTCCTATTGTCATGTTTCTGTGTTAGAGTGTCTCAGAGGTCACAGTTCATACTACAGGTGAAAATTGGTGTTACAAGATTCTATCTGTTTTTTTCCTTGCACTGTTTTTATTTTGTTCCCTTATTGTTTTATGTTGTGTCTGTTGAGCAGATACAAGAAGTTTTAATAGTTAAAGATATAAAAATAAATGGAAAGCTCTTATTGAATTTTTTTTTTAATTGGCCTGCTATTACTTCACTATTCGACGGTGGAGTATGTCTGTCTATTTGTAAGCTTCTTATACCTAAATACTCAGGACTAACAAGAACATATTTCGTACAAATCCATTCTTTTTAATATGCTATATTTCCTAGAATACCTTCTTGTTCTTAATTTTCCCAATCCCAATCCATCAAAAATTATTAATCTACCAAAAAAATCTGCTCCATATTTCCCATGGATTATCCACGGCCATCCCGTCAACGGACCGGACTAACCTCCATTGGTTCTAACCTCCACAACACATGGGAATAGCGACGTTCGCAAGGAATTGGACACAGCTCTTTAGTTCCGCCACAAAATTATAGAAGGGATGTGACTTTTCATGGAGTCATTGGGTGCACTGATGTGATGATGAATGTCATTATTGATCATAGCTTTTGTTTGACAGTCTTTAACTAGGGTTGGTATGGGAAACTTTAGCGTGAGTGTAGTTTGCTTGTCATTATTATTTTTTCTCTAGCATGGTGTTAGTTTCGTGCATGAAGATTTTTTTTTAATTGCCCTACACTGGAATTTTCTCCTGTGTCGTGGGTGCGTTTACAAACATACAATTTCACATACACATGACACCAAGACTCGGAACAACAAGCTGTGGATCACACAAAGAATTGTTCCGTGCGGGAATTAAACCAGCGACACGTTGCACGGCAGCCAGTGGCCCAGCCACCTCGCCAACCGAAAGGTACATAACTTTTTGATCTTGGTCATGTTTCAAACACGTGAGAAAGATTTTTAATGTTCATTTGGCAAAAATAGGGTTTATTTTTTTTTTACAATTGACAAGTTTCTCTTTATACTTCTTATTCAAGTGTTGATTGTATGAGTATGATGCAAGATTTAAAGATGTCCAACTTCTCCGAGTAATCCTGTAATTCCACTGGGCAGGACTGTCATCGCAGGCAATCTGAATTGTAGAGGTAGTATCTCAAAAAATAAAAATTACTGCTAAATTAGTTCTATCATTGTCTTAAAAGAAAGCTAGTACAAAATACTTTGTTTTTATATTTATAGCATCTGTGATAATTGTGAATGATAACAACCCTTTAAGACTTACCCCAAAATAGAAATAAAATCGTAAAGATAACCAAATGGAACATTATTTTAAATCAAATCAGCCAAAACAGGGGTTCGGTGACGTCTATATCTGTCACCCTACGCATAAATTCGATACGCCTCGGCCTGTTAGCAAGCGTGATGTTATGGGGAGCCCAACATTAGATACATTCGGAGTAGTTGAGAGAGTGGCTGGTCCTAAATTGTTTTATTGTGCCAACTATAAAGGAAATTAGAATTTTTATTTGCAGTGTTATAATTACCCTCATGGGCTCATTTTAGTTTCGGAATAAGAAAGTGTAGGTCTGAACTGTTCTCCAAATAATTTAATTGTAATTACTCAGATGACTCTCTGGATAGTCTTTAATACTAAGTTTCAGTTACTTAGTTGAGTTGTGTGGCCAATTAGAGGAAAATAAAATCAAAGTTGACGTTTAAATCTCTGTAATTAATGATCCACTACTATAACTAATATTTACAAAATAAATACTTAACAACTAATATTGCACGTAGATTAGGTGATAACAACAATTAACATTATCGAACAATAGAACCAACTCGAACTTCACACATTCCCCTATTCATATTCAAACTAATTTAAATACATTTTGTTGAAATAGTAGTGCCGAAACAACAAGAAATATTTATATCAAGCCTGCGGCAGTACGAGGAATCTCATCCCGAAGTAGAACCCTAACATTATAACATATTCAGTTTTATTAGACTCACTTTTCTATTTTCAAGATATAACATTGAACAGTTTTTACTCGTGTGTTTCGGCACTTAAATACATAAAATATATTTATTTATGTAAAAGAGAGCTACCGTTGTGAGGATAAAATTGTTTACTTTTCTTATGGCCAGCCGGCACCTCGTCTAAATCACCTTCTTTGTCCTGGTGAGCTGTCATGTGTCTGGTCAGGTGATGTCGTTCACGAAAACTCTCGTTACACACGGGACATTTCAATTTCTCTTCACGTTTTCTTCTGTGCGGGTCGATTGCCGACTCACTCTTATGGTGAGTACGCATGTGATAAACTAGGTCAGAAGTCATCCTGAAGCTGATGCTACACTTCGCACAAACATTTTGCGACGGCAGAGAAAACGCAGCCAATGTTGGCGGCAACAAGGTACTTAGTATGGCCGCTGCTGGATTGGCTATCAGCGGATTCTCCCTCGGCGGTACAGGAAATTTCATAAAGTCCGGATTAGGCGATTGGAAATTCTGAACCCCAAAAGGATAAGATGATCCAGCTTGAAGATATGGTATCTCTGGTCTAAAGGGCAGAAAATTTAATTTATTCGGTGACATTTGTGGTGTTTTGGTCTCAGGTTTATCTTGATATTCCAGATTTTTATTAAATCCAGACTGTCGTTGGCTCATGGATGTCTCTACATAGTTAGGAGATGAAGACGGAACATTCTGACCTTTGAAAAAGTTGCTGCCGTTTATCAGATGAGCGGGAGTGAGGAGATTATTGAATGCTGGCGTCTTGTTGAATGAGCTTGAAGGTGGACTGGCAGCAGATAGTGGCGGGCTTACCGAGTTTTGGTAAAGAAGATTATCAGGGCTGACCGAAGGATTAGGTGACCTCATTGAAAAGTTTGAAACTTTAGTGAACGCACTTTTTGGTGACATGTTGTCTGCTTTCTCAGAGTATCTTTCGTACCTTGCCCGTGACTGCATGGTAATGAGAGTAGGGTCATCGAAAATTTTATTCTTATATTCTGGCAAAAATTTCGGCTGGCGCGCGGCACTTTCATTGGAATTTGGACGACTTCGTGATCGCTCAGAATTGTCAGAATCACTACAATACATAGATTTACTCGGGTACTCGTCTGTTCCGACGTCAATGTTGATATCTGACCCAAAACTTGGCGATATATTATTGTTCGCACCAATCCGGTCGTCATCGTGGTCTTTGAGGTCCATCGTGTTATCGCTGGAGTAATCGCTATGCTTGTAAATATCAGGCATCCTCTTCGGAACTTGTTCCCATTCTTCGTGGTGGAACAGCTGCTTTGATACTCTAAGTTGTCTTTCAGGGGGTTTTGGTCGTACTTTTTCATCCGGCATCATCAGAAAAGCCACATCAAATGATCTCTTGGAAGCTTTCCCAGGATTCAAAACAGTTGACTGCATCTCGGATTTAATTTGTGAAGTTCTAGCACTTTCAATGTTTAAATTAGTGTCCTTGGAGTCGGGAGACGTTTCTTTATAATTTTGATAGTTATTTTGAACGTCCATTGTCATTGTTCGGTCATTAATTACTAGCACACGAACTTGAAACTTTTCGCACTTATATCGCGGTTACACGGAGAAGACGCGTGCGTACTACCCGGCGGCTACAATACGAATGTGAGTAACATAAGGGTGAAAAATATGTAAGTGGGGTTTTGAACTACCCTTAACAGAGCGTTTGAAGTTGTGAAGGCGTGGCGAGACGGACCAATAAACGTCGACCGGGAGGCGTGAAAGGAATCGGACAGCCAATGAGAGAGCTTTACGACGATAGAGAGCAGGAGAGCTCAATCACCAGGTCAAGATAATAATAACTGCTGTGAATTGAGAGCGCATTGAGTTGTGGTAGGGTCAGCTTGACAATAGCGGTGCGATATTGAAAACTGTGGTTTATTTCGCTGTTCATTGTGTACGGTCAGCAAAATTATTACCTTTATCGTCTTACGATAGATTGTCAAAATTTTGTTCTTTACGATGGGTATTGGAATTTTAGTTCTTTGTTTCAGTGAGATAGTAAATCATTGACTTTTCAATTATGTTGCCGTTATTGACTATATATGAACATTTGTAAGAAATATAAGCTGGATAATACTTTGTTTTCGAAATATGTAAAACATAAAGTTGTTGTAATGGTAGTCTAACAAACAAAAAATAGGTAAACTAAGTTCATCAATAAAAAAGTTTTTCTAACCATTATCTTCTATTTATCTTACCCAAACATGGCACTCGAGAAGCTGAAACGATTATGATTGCAATAAATATGTTTTATATGTCGCATAAAAAATGATACTTCATATAGTCGGCCTAACCCCCGACTGTATAGATGAGATTGCGAATAATGCTATTAACACAGACGCTTCTCCTCAAATTGATATCATGCTCGAAGATGTTACAGGCGAAATTGAGCTCAAATACGAAAGTGATAAAACCGTAAATCCTGTAACTATCGTTGAAGCTAATACTGAAAAAATTGCCAAAGTAAAATCGGTCATAAAAATAAGAGTACAGGGCGTAAATTCGGTTGATGGGCAATGTATAGGAAAGTTAAAAGAAGACCCAAATGAGTTCTGTTCGGTAGTGGGTAACGATAATAAGATGGGCGCAGACGTTAAAGGAAAACCATTTGTCAGATTTTAGCCATTTTTTTCGCCATTTGTTGGCTCTCAATGAAAATCTGTTCCATTTATTTTGCTCGGCGCGTTAATGAGAAAATTTAAAGAAATATTGTGAGGATTAGTGTAGACTGGTATCGGGTATTGCTTTATTTAGATTTTGTGGTTGATTTCGAATTAGAATATGTAGATTTAGTTTTTATTTTAGTAGAAATATGGATACTTCGTTCCTTTTTATGAGATATTAGAAAATACTAGGTTCCAACTGAACTAGATCTATGTTAGAATATTCTGATCAACATTAAAAATAGTAGAATTCGAAAATGAACAAATTTATGATAAATTATAAAATGTTATCGCAAATCCCTAACAATAAACCTTTTTTATTCACCCATTGTGCACAGATTGTATAAAAATGATAAAGAACAAGTAAAAAATGTGTTTGCGATAGACGGCGAGAGTCAGCCAGGCTCGCGAGTCATTTGTCTTCGGTGCCACAATAAAATTGATTCGTAAGCTGAAAACGAGTAGCTTTTTTGGGAAAATAATATGTTTTCTCACCATGCTTGTGGTTTTATTTTCATTTATTTGCTGATATTGCGAAGGTTTTGTAAGTAGCACACATTTTAATTATTGTCTTCTAGAATTGTAAATTATATAATTTGTTATTGTGTGTGGGATTAAATTTTGTGGTCCGAAACAGTTGAATAGATTTGGTACTGTTTTTTGGTGAAAAGTGTTATGTGGATACAGCAAGCTTCAGCCACGTGCAGGACCAGTACTTATTTTTATTAATTCAAAATAAAATATTGAGAACACAAAATGCTTTGTTCTGTATTTTATTGATAAAGAATTCTTAAAGCAATCTTTACCCGAAGGACATTTGTCGGTGTTTACTCCTAATAAGATGTCAATGACGAGTCAGCCTGTTACAGAGATTGATGGAGCAGTTGCTTCGGGGCAAACGATGTTTTCTTCCCTAAAAGATGGGAATTCTTGTGTTTCTACTTTGCAACCACTTATTGTTTGTGGAACAAACAAAGGAGGCAACAATGTAGGACAATGTTTGTGAAAAACTTAGAATGCAGTTTATAGTTTTAAACAAACCTAAAATGTAATTATTGAGATTTGAAGAACTGTTTAAGCATCGTGAAGATTGTTTATTGATATGATTTTCATATTGCCAAAGATGACAAAATAGAAAATAATACATGACGATCAATGATAAATCAATTTCACACTGTAGTAGAGGTAGATATCGCAAGAAACATATCACTGAAAAGTCAAAATAACAATAAATCGAGCTTAAATGGTTTATCAATAGAGGTAACAAATAGTAAGATAAGTAATTGTGGACACACGCCGCGAATATTCTGACACGTGCCATGCATAAGGGACGGCAGAGCTCCAGGATTTGTGGACTATTTGATGATAAATAACAGATTAGAAGATTATTTATAACTAAAATTGAATAAGTGAGTGTTAGGGTGGAAAGATGATACGATTTTTCTTATTTATGATTTGAATACAACATTTAAGGGAGTTTAAACTTTGGGCTAAAAGTAACTTAGTTTTTGAAGTAAGATTTAGAGAGATTCTTTGAAATGAAATTAGTGTCCGGCAAGGTCTATACCCGACAAACAAAGTACCTAACTAAAATAATGTGATACATTAATTAGCCTAAAATTTACTTAGATTAAAAAGTTATCATGCTCGAGATAATCATAATTGTGAATCAGTTCTGTAATTGTCATAACATGCTCTGAATCAACAAAAACCTTTCCACAATCAAAGAAAACAAACCAGTTATTCCTGCTACACCGTTGAGAGAAATCATTGCGAAAATTAATTCTGATTCCTGACGGATGATGTAGAGGCAAAGTTCACATGTGCAAGTTTGATTGTGATCGGTCTTCGGACGTGTCCCGACAGATTAGTCGCCACTGTTAATACTGTTCCGATTGAACGATGTGACGCGTCCCTTAGGACCAAAGTCGATTCCATCCAGACAATGATGAAGTAGGTGTGAATCTCCAAGTATTGCTTTTGTTTCAATTTGTTTTGTTTGCTAACATTTGTCTTCTTGGTGAGACGGTTGGCGATTATTTGTCTTTTGTTAACCGTATTCAAGTAAAAAGAGATCTGTTTACCGTATTAGTAAAGCTTCTATTTTTCATTATTTGTTTAAAAAGATTTATTGTTTTGTTTCTTGCACAGACTGCTAGTTTTTATATTATGTCTTTCAAAATTATGGAACCTAAACTTATTTTAACTACAAAGGTCAAATACAGTGTAAAACAAATATCGATAAAAAGTAAATATCGATACATTGTATTAAATCTTCTTGTAAACCCTATCAACAATACATTGCGTGTTATGCACAAAGCTAACATCGACCTCGAATGTCAAAACAGCACCTGTACTGCATATTAAAATATGCTCAGTTTAATCCCCATAATACAGAACAGTTCTAATACCAACATACCATATGGTGTTCTGATCACCAACAATACCACCCTGCTTAGCCCTGCTGCGTAATCATCCCTTTTGTACTCTCAATGGTCTTAGGATCATTCACCCTATTAATTGTAAAATTCTTTTATTACCACTCTCAAACTAATTCAAACTTTATCACTCTCATTTCTAAGTTCACATTCGTATGATGTCTAGTTATTGACAAGGGCGTTTATTGTAGTTTTGTCGCGTTTAAAAATTGCGTTCAATGCTTTTGTATTTGCGTTTAGACTTATGTTAGTTATTTTGAATCTAATCGTCTTGTTATTAAGGTTTATATCAGCGACGCTAGTCGGTTTGATTAATGAAATGCCCATTCTGTATTAAAATGTATTTTCAACTTTATTTCTAGTGTGTAGAGTTGCATTTTGCGTCTGATGATCTTCAAAGCTTCAAATGAATGATCGGTGAGCATTAAAGTAGGATTTTGCGAACACTTGTTTATAAATTTTTGGACCATATGGTGTAAGAGCCGACTTGGACAATACGCCCCCATGGCGGTACCCCATTACCATATGCGACACGTTAAATACGTATTTCAAGAGTTTCGTATAGCTTTGACCTTTAAAACTTAGCGATCGATAGTGTAATATTTGATGGTGGTCCATGTTTTCATAGAATAAGTTAATGATGACGAAACACACTATAATAAAGGAAAATATTCCTGCTGCCTTCAATTTCGTTACTTATTTTGTAAAAAAAGCACAGCTTTTCAGACATAAAAAAATACACTTATTTAACCCACAGATATAATCTCTTTATAATGTCTATCTAGTCTATACTAAAGATTCATTCCATAAACTGGTGAAAAGAATATCAACAGCTGACTTCAATCAACATTTTCAATACGATGTATGATAATGTGGCCACTTGTCGACTTGCACCGCTACGGTGCGCGTGCGCAAATAAACAACATTTCGGACAATGTGCCGCAATAATCCATATTGTAAGGGCTGACAATAGTAAATCGGCCTCGTAGGGAAAACAGTTTTAATACTTTATGTTAAAAATAATTCAAATATTTTTTTAATGTTATAGTACTTTAGTAGATATGGAATCAATTGAATTATGTAATTCGTCAGAACTAGTCTAACAATTACTAACAGGTAAGGTTAACTAATTATTGTATTAACTTCCAAACAGTTGGTAGTTCACCAACCACAGTAATTTTAACGTGATTATTTTGCTATGATATTGAGAGCCTTAGCTTCTGCATGATCCACGATTGCAATGGAATTTAGCGTATTACTGGCAAAAATATTAATAATAAAGTATCAAAAACGTTCAGCCATTAGTTCTATCCCCGTTACGACGAGTCAACATATGCGCTGGTGTACTGCCATTTGATCACAATAAGTATAATGATCACTGAGCACTGAGCATCCC